AAGTTTTTTATGTTGTTTATTTGTCTATGTGGTGTTTTCAATTTGCTTTTAGACAAACCATGTGCCAATCCATTAATCAACACCATTGCTGAGTATTTTCTCCTTAAAACTTGTAGTTTCCCAATGGCAGTCACAGAAACGCGGTTTGAAACAGCCATCGGTTTGCTTAGTCACAAAATTCAATAACCAATCACGTCAAGGGATAGATTCCTATCATTAGCATATCCCTCTCTCCATTTATACAAACGCGGCGCGCATAGAGATCGCATGCAAAATATACCAATAGGATTACCAGCACAAAACCAAAAATAAAATACAGCAAAAAACCCAAGAAGCCTTGGTTTAACATGAATTTAGAACCGCTAACTTGAATAATAATCCGCGGCAACAGTGTAAAAGTAACCCAGAGTCAGACCCACCTCGCGGGCGCGAATTAAGAATCACAAACTTGGCTGCATTCGAGTCTTCAAGGCATTTTGAGGACACAACATCAAGTAAATAACTTTAACGAATGTTACAGTATCCACTGTAGTTGTCCGCTAGGAAAAACATTTTTTTATCAGTCATTATCCGTGGATCAGGAGGCCCTGGCTGGTGTGACTGAGTGGAGGCGGGGCTAATTTGCGTATTCATAGATCCACGTATAGTAAATGAGGCAAGGGTGTAGAGTTCCATTCAAGCTATTTTAAGGCATGAGAAAATTATTTTCACAAGAATAAACATTTAAATATGTAATTTTGATGATCAAAGATGAGTTTTAAGGGATAACATTTTTGACTACAGAGGGACTTTAAAGGCACAACATGTAAGATTTTTGTAATAAAATATCCAAATACTACTTGCACAGTGTGATATATTTCATGCAGCTGAGTTATTGTTCAGTGCACACGCTCGCCGACTGAATTCAGCTCTGATGCGAATTCTCTCATCATAAACATCAAAGTGCAGATGTACGTATGATGCAAGAGATTCATTCATAAAACCGTGTATAGACAGCTTTACTGATTATAAGGGGAGTTTTTTTAGAGTGCTTAAACTCGCGCTAGAATTAAGTCAGTCATAATGTTCTTTGACAATGTAAATGTTCTCTGCTTGCATTCTCTGTATAATTTATTCTCTGTTTGAATAGCTGTGAAAGGTACAGGTAATAAAAAAAATGTATTCATTACCTCATCAGTGAACATCCTCCTTTATAGGGTCATCAAGCTTTGCCTTTGTTATTGTTTTGAAAATGCAACCTCTAGTGGCGAAAACTTACATATTGTGCCTTTAAGATTTGATCACAGTTTACCTTTTTTTTATTTTTATATTCAGTTATGAATATTAAAGCAGTGCTTTCAGTATTAACCTCATCTAATAAGTTTAAATCACTCAACAGTCAAGGGTCATTTAGTATATATTTCCTTTAAAACTGTTCTTTTATTCCTTATTTAAGATGAATGTTAATTCGGGGCAGGCTTTGAATAAATTCTATTTAAATTAGCAAGTTGGTGAGTTAAACTGGAATTCAAAGACAAATCCGTTTCAGCCTCTTCAATTAATAAGTATGCATTAATCAGTGTATTAATAAAATGAGTGGAATATGATCGTGAACAAACCCTCCGCTGTGCTGTTCAAACATGCTTAATGGCTGCTCGTCTCCCAAGCTTATTTGCTAATTGGTTTGACAAGACCATTAGTGTTATTTACTTAATTTCTCCAGAGTTAGCAAAGCATCTAATCTCCATCTGTAGCTCCTCGGGGTTGGTTATTTGAATTGTTCTCGCTTAATTTCTTCATTCTGTCAGTGTAGAGATTAAGTGAGCTTTACTGTATGAGTGTAACGCAGCTGATCTGTTCGTTCTCGCAGGACTTCCACGTTTCCTCAGACAGCCGGAGGGCATGTCGGTGCGCATTGGCGGCACTGAGATGCTGAGCTGCGAGGTGACGGAAGAGCTCGTCCCGTTCACCCGCTGGGAGAGGGATGGTCGGCCCGTGGAGCTGGACGACAGGGTCATACAGCTGCCCAGCGGAGCTCTGGTCATCAGCAACGCCTCCCGGAGCGACGCCGGACTCTACCGCTGCACCATAGACGGCCTGGGACCGGCCAAAACCACAGAGGAGGCAGAACTACACGTGTCTGCAGGTACAGACAGACACACAGTGTGCTGTGATTGTAAACGCTTCAGAACTAAGGGGCTGTTTACACGACAACATTTTCAGCCAAAAACGGGAAACTTTTTATGCGTTTTAACTGTTCGTTTACACGACGACAGCGTTTTGGGGACTGAAAACGCATATTTTTGAAAACGGGTTTCAAAGTGGAAGTTTTTAACAACGGCACCGTTGTCGTTTCCGTGTAAACACCCAAAACGGGAATCTTTGAAAACGCTGACGTCATGCGTGTGCGTAGTACGTGTTAGGTATGTAGACATGCGCAGTACGTGTCGATTTTAAAGGCAAGCGCGAACAAACATACACAACATTGGCGGAGTACATGGTACTGTTGTTGCTGCTGTTGAGTTTGCTAACGCTTCTTCAGCAAAGTGTGGATTTACTTCACCAATATTACAACCAACAGCGGAAACGAATCATATACATCAAATAATCGTCACTTCCCTACAGGTACTGTTTACTAACAAGGTGACAGCGCCAACTACTGGCCTGGCATACGTAATACAGCGTTTTTGACCGTTTTCGCGGATGTGTGTAAACGCGAATCGTTTTGAAAATGTTGTCGTGTATACGTATTTTCTTTATCAATTAACTTCTATTAACTAAATTAAATCTACATTTGGTGTGAGCATCCTTTGCGTTTAAAGCAGCTTTTGCCCTCGGTGCACTTGCGCATAGTTTCTCAGGTAGCTTTGTAGGTAAGTTTCTTGAAGCATCTTGGAGACGTTATAAAATGAAGTAGAATAAAAATAAATAAATTTTTTGATTGATTAAATTATTCATTTTTCAAATGTTCATGAGATGATACTGTTTGTTTATATAAATTAAATATATTTATACACACTTATTATAACATTTTTAAAGTTAATTCAAATAAGTTAATTAGTTATTATACTATTATAAATATATTATCATTATTATATTATTATTACTATACATTAAATATATTATCATAAGTAAAATAATCATTTTATTATTATTACTTTTGTTCATTGAATTGTGAGTTTACTGATATATTTTTATAGTCACATTTGTGCTATTTTTGTGTGTTTTTGCAGATTCTGGTGTTGAAGAAAAACTGGAGACTCTCCAGGGCCAAGTTGCTGTGGCGAAGGTTGTCGGGGAGAGCGTGTTGTTGCCATGCGTCATGAAGGGATACCCTGTGCCAATGATTCGCTGGACGTTTAACGACCGGCCAATTGACGAGAGGTAAGCGTATCAGAACTGTATTTTTTTCCCCCGAACCCATGAGAAAAAACACCACCAATAAATCATGTTGGCACAGAGAATCATACATTCCTGTCAAACTCTTGGCTGGATGCAAGAAATTTGTACAGGTATGAGATCAAAGCACTTCGGTGGGATGGCAAACTCTCTTCCTCAGATCCACACTGGCAGCAGTCGCACTTCCTCGGCGTGGTTTGGCATACTAAAGCAAACTCGTAACGGATCAGCCCCACAGAGCACACAAAAAGAATCCATTCAGTTGCTCTTAATCGACTATTCAACGTCTGTCCAAATTCCTCAGCGTAAAATATCCGTATTATCCGGCGGAGGTAATTACTGACGCCTGTGTAAATGGATATCATAGAGCCACGTGCCGTTCCCACGTGGCCATGTGCGCGGCATAGTTATGATGCTCTTATCTAGAACGTGGCTTTGTCTAAAGTCACACTCGCCATTTACACGCCGTAAATTGCCTTACATAGTTTACCTGATAGCCGCTGTCCTCTCTCCCGCTCGGTTTTCCAGAGGAGGGTTGGCTGTTGTCATGCGGTGGACATGAATAATGTAGAAAGGACTGGATTGTCACGGCATGTAAATGGGCTGTCAGGACTACGGAGCTCTGTCATTCATTATTACACCCTCTGTGCTTGGTATATTTACCCTGATTTGATTTCAGCCGTGGGTTTGGCGATGTTTGCATTGTGGACGTGCAAAAGTGATTACATGCTTTTTATTGCCGCTTTGTCTCTTTTGATTTCCTAACCCTCTGCGTTTTATCCCCTTACACACTCCTGTTGTATTACTGCATATACTGATCTACAATCTGCATCCAAACGCACCAAACTCAAAGCTTTCAAGGTCAACAGCAGAACTGACCGATGTCTGCCAGCATATAGTGGATTAGATTAATAGTGATCTTTGCCACTAAACAGTACTATTACTATTGATCATACTAAGATTAAGGGTTAACCACTTACCCTGAGTATTAAACTTGAAAATGGCATAAATGACATTTCAAATTAATTCAAATTAAGCTTTTTTTTGCAGTTTTTATTTTAATTTTATTTAAATTTTTACTTTGTGCTTTTGTTTTCTTAAATATTTCTTTTTACTTTTATTTCAGTTTAGGTAATTTTATTACTTGCACTTAGTACAAGGCAACATTTCTAATATTATTTTTTTTAAGTTTAAGATTTTGCACCCCTTTCTTTTGTGCACATTAATTAATTAATTAATTAATTGTTTTATTTATTTTTCTGTTTGTTTATTATTTATTTATTTATATTGTATTATATCTGTATATATTATATGGTTTAAAATGTAGTAGAACATTTTATATTTATAAGAAATACACCAGAAATGTATTATGTATATATACACACCCCTTTCTTTTGTTTCAAATAAGTTTTTGGAGAATAAAATGTCAAAATTTGGTTGAACATTTTTTTACATTGTCATTCAGTGTAACAATATTTATGTAAAAATTCAAACAACATGCTTCTTCTGACTTGTACATATTAAAATATATAAAAGAATAAGGGAGCATATTTCATTTTATTGTGTTTTAAATGAGTAAAAATTCTTACTGACGATGTATATATAAATACACACACATAGAGTATATATTTTGAAAATATATACACATTTATTCATTTATATATTCATATTCTTATATTTTATGTTATATCTAAATATATTTAATATATAAACAACATATTTCTCTTAAATATATACATGCATGTGTGTGTATTTATATATACATAATAAATAT